GCGGAGTGAGTTGTAACGTAGCAGTCGCCGAGTTAAGTAGTAGTCGAGCGAGTGTGTTATCAACAGTTCTCCAGTCAGCCGACTACAGTTGGAGTATAGCAGCCATCACGGAAAGAAGAACCGGACGTGTGTGTGATTGTGTAATTGGGAGTTGATACAGTGATACATAGCTCCCCTACTGTAAACATGTAGATTACTGAAGACAGAGTGAACTGATTTGCACATAGGGTTATAAATCGTGAAACCCCGCAACAGTGTTAACAGATTAATGCGNAAAAGTGAATGGAAATAAGAGTAATATACCATTTTTAATGTCTGTGTGAGCATAATGGGCTTCATCACCCTCACTGAGTAACAAGCCTTGCACAATTTAGGCATGAGTTGGGATATATGAGTTTTCAATAGCTAATCCCAAAAATTTGACATTTGTATACTTAAAATCACATTATTATGATAATGATATGACTTTGAAAGAAATTAAATTTTGGCTCACAAAATGAATAGCACTTCAGGAATTTTTCTTTACATGAGAAGTGTTAGTAAGCAAAGTAAATAAGTTAAAAGAAAGAAAATATTTGAAATTATTAGAAATCTGCTACCAGAGGAAGTGGAAAGGTATTACCTTCATGGTAGAATGTGAAGCACATGTTCATGAGTGACTTAGCTGGTGAGAAGTCATCAGCGTCAGCACATTCAAATAATACAATGGCAAAGTACTGCACAAGACTGTAGAACGTTGATTCATCAACCTTCTTGTTGTGGACACGTTGAGCATTCACAAACCTTGCAAACCACAATCTACCAGACTCATGCTAACATAACACACAACAGAAGAAAGTGTTACTTTATTTGGGCAGAACTTGGCAAAACATACACAAATTTTTAACGTAAGTTATGACTATGTTTCACTGATCAGAAATAGGAATTTATATTGTTTTTGTAGCCAGATGTCACTACAACTATGTTTACAGGCTTGTTGCATGTGAATAAAACCTATACTATGAATATCTTGATGTCCTGATGCCAATGCAGAAACAACTTAAGACAGAATGACAATTGAATTTAAGTGCAATGAAATATCATTACAGTGCATATTAACATTTTATTAATTCTCAACTGAGACTGTATATGCAATTATAAAATCTTTCAGTTTAAGTTCTTTAATATATCATAGATTTCATTATTTTGCAAGAAGTGTTGAGGACTCACAAAGCATATTTTGCATTTAGTGTGTTTCTAGAGTAAATTAAATTCAGGCACCAAATTATTACAAATATGTTATGTACATGGCCAAATGCAGCTATAAAGTGTAAATTTCCTTTGGCAGAGTATAGTACTCTGCAGTTGCATCCTCTTTGCATAGATAACTACAGAAATTTTGCTATGTATTAGATGCAGAAATTCACAAATTTAATATCAAAGAGAATTAGTAATTTTAAAATACAACTGTGAAAATAAAATGAGAGGCTCAAATGAAAGCGAAATGTAAGAGTTCATGAAGAGTTCTACTTTCTAGGATATAGCACCATGTAGTCTGTTGAAAGTTAGTTCACGTTTCAGACGAATATGTCTCCTCCATCTTCAGGGTTGAAGAATAAGCCAAGAAAGGAACCAGCAGGAAGCAAGTAGCAAGCACACCTGCTTGCTCTTTACTATCTGTTTGTGGACAAGGAGTTTCCTGATTGTTTCATGGGAATAGGAGAATAAATTCCCTGCCACCTACCTATATTAAATAAAAATCAGCTACAGCTTAACAGACTCATGCTTTATGAAACAACACAATTAAAATGTTGTGTTACTGAGCCATAGTTTTATGAAACTATACTTCAGTGTAAGGGACACAGGTGCTCTTGCAATGTGTCTCTCTATTTTAGACATTTCTCCTGTCACTGTAATATTATTAGTTAAGATACCTGTCTTCACACTGTGAAAATGTAAGTCTCACATTACAACTTTGTACTAAAACCTGTTAGGTGATTTATAATGAAATGTACAATATAAGCAATAAAATACCTGAGCAAGCTGCCCAAATTTAGATTTCTGGTCCAATGGTATAGCTGAACTGTCTTTAAACAGATCTCCAACAAACTTCCTCATGAACTCCACTGCTTCTGCTGTCATCTCATCAGACTGACTGTCAAGACTTAAACTAGATGCCCATGACTGGACTGAGCCCTCAGAACCTTAAAAATGTAACATATAGCATTAAGATGAGTAAGAGATCTTGAAGACTGCTTTCTTCATAGTCACCGCCGTGAAAGCTTCAAATCTTACAAGAGATCTTGACTTCTGTCTCGAGTTCAGATATTACTTAGAACATGTAATGTGATATTATGATTGAGTAAAGTTCTCCCATTTAGAATCAAGAGCAAATGCAATCATCGTAGAACAAATATTTTAAACCCAGACTTGAGCTGATAACAGACTTTCATCCATCAAAATCAAGAGAAAACTTTTGCATTCTGATTCTTAAAAGGAAAAACATTTATTTATTTATTTATTTATGGAACAAAAGTGTGTGTTCTTGAAAATTTGTGTTACGAATTCTTTAAACTATGACCTGCAAAATGCAAACTTCATATTTCATTCCTGAGGGAATCACATATACCAAGAGTGCTCAAAGAACAATATCTGGACCCCAACACGGAGCTAGCCACAGTTATGTAATGAGGAGCTTCATAATATGCACTCTTCATACAATGCTGTTATGAAGAAGAGTAAGAGAAAATCAACTTTGGCTGGCAGAGGCCATTTGCAATACTCAAGTACACAAGAAAGGATAACATTAAAATGGATCACAGAGATACCAACTGGGTAAATGAACTAAACTGGTTCTGAATAGGATTCAACGGCAGATTTTTATGAAAAGGGTGAATAACAATAAATTTCTCAAGCAATACTCTGTACAAAACAGTTTACTTAGAAACTTGTTAAATTAAAACTACAGCCTTTAACTAATGAATAAAGCATCTAATACTCTAACAAGCAGATTCTTGTTTGACCAGTAAAATAATTCCTTGCTATAGAACCTAAAGTTCATCACTATCCTCACAAAAGCCACCAAATGGACCCTATCCTACAACTGTAAATGAAAACAAGATTCTTTAATATTATAAAGAGAATGATCATGTGGAAGGCAGAAGTACTGTTCCACTGAAATCCATCCAGAGAAATTCTTTGGACACAGCATCACACATGTGTATCCTTGGGCTATATTCAGATATATGATTACATATTAAACGCTTTAGTGTGAAGTCTGGGCTGACTGTACAATTTTGTAACTGGAACAGGTATCAAGACTCTGAGCAAAATTTATACCATGCATGCAATTTCTATATTAAAACTGAGCTCTTTGACTGTGAAGCCCTGCCACAGAACTACCTGTTAAGTAAGCCAAGGTTATTTGGATGTAAATTCCATTGCACACAGAAGCCTTCAATATTTCTGCAGATTATATTCAATCGCTAATAGATGTGGATAGCATGAAAGCTTGTTCTTTCCTTTAAATATCAGCAAATAAGTCTTGGTGCCACCTACTGATATAAATGCTCTACTACATGATTAACACTGAATCAGTCTCTTCTACTCTGACATTTTTAACACAAGTATACTGAGCAAATCTAAAAAGCTTGTGTTCTGCAAATGGTTAAATTTACTAAATTCTTTAAATCTCTTCTGGCATAATATCTTGCCACACACAAATTCTGCTTACCAGATCTGACCCAGTATTTCTTTCCGTCATGATCAGAGAAGTCAAGACTTGTGCTAGGACCATACACATCTCCATCACTTGCTGAGCCACTACTGGGTGCTTCTGTTAACATAATCAATTAAAGAATCAGACTCACATTCACAGGAATAAAAAGAACTTAATTATATATATGTTTGTAAATAATGGGCAAAGTTCTGATAGCTGAAACATGCTTACCTACACCATTTGCATGGCATAAATTTGTACTTTAAAAAATTGTGTTCTTTCTCGAAAAAAAAGTTCAAGAATGTGACTTTTCTATACAAAACTGTGAATTTGCGGTATTTTTATTTTTTATTGGTACCATAACATTTATTTTCCACTGAAATTTCTAAAACATTCTTTACGAAGTAGCTTTCATGTTAAGAAGGCATTAAACAAAAGCACAGTACACCTGGCACCAAACTTTTACTGATCACACATGTAGTCAGGTGTCACCTTTGACATATATTGACAAAGTATCTTGTGATGATACTTTCCTTACGTCACTGCTTAAGAGCCAAGAAAGACGAAATTCCAATGCTCTGGCAATTAATTTAGTGAAGTAACATGAGATACAGTCCAAAAGAAAAGAGGCCGTCATTGCTAGGGAACAGTGTGGTAAATAATTTATTGCAGAAACAAATCGACATGCAATGATGGAGGTACTATTGGAAGTGGTATTTTCTATGGTGTCCTTCCCAAGGCCATATATTGAGGACCAGCAGCACCACCACCACTCCTGCCAGAATTTCACCCATCCTCTCATGAGAGAGGATGTTACATAAAGACTATGACTGCAAGGGTTCAGTTAAAAAAAAAGAATGTCAGGTTGTGAGTCTCAAGGGGCTTGGCACCCAGAAAATCTTATCAACAGTAAACCACCAGTTGTAAAGTATGAATGAATGAATGTATAGGGCGTGGGCCTTCTCGGCCCTTACATCGCGACTTACAGTGATCTATTGTGCTTTGTTGTAAAGTAACTCTGGCTGAGTGGGTGAGTGAGTACCCCCTGCTTGAGTCATTCCCAATAGAAGGAGAGTGGGGAGCAGTAGTCAGACCCCTTCTCTCATTGAAGAGAAGGCTACACTTCTAAAAACTTACATGCCTAGGAGAGAACAAAAATCTTAGTCATGTATGGCAACGGGATTCAAAACCAAGAGTTACTGTGCTGGTGAGGGCGAGCAGCAATTTAACCGATTGACCGACAAGTCCACTCGGGGTGAGGTAGAGATCCACATCTCCCAAAGTCGTGAGATGGTAAAATATGGTCATGAGTTTCATGGAACTTGGGAACCAAGTATGACTGTCTTGGTGAGAGTCAGCAGCAATTCACCCAACTGCTTAGTTGACAGTCCAGCCAGTCTTGAGCTGCATTGTTAGCAGCTGCTACCTAGTAATGACCAGTGAATAAACAGAGAACTTTTGTGTGTGCCCTATAGTTGTACTGATCTGTAGTGTGTGAATCAGAGACGGCTATAGTTATTTGTAGTTACAAGTTATAAGCATTCAATAAGTCTAGTTATCAATCCAAACTCCATGTTTAGTGACTAAAATGAGACAATACACACAGAATAAGAATTACTGTTCATATAAAGATAGTCTGGCATATAGTGGACAGTAAGTAAATGATTCACATATCACTCACAATTATTAATATGTTTTTGTGTTGCCAGTATTGACTATGTTGCATGAAACCTTTTACATTAATCTCCTAATTGTTACTGGAAAGTCAAGGGTAATTCTAAAAGAAGGATCTATATTTTATGTACTGTGAGGACCGTGAATAGAGTTTTTTGTTTCAGTATTTTATTTTAATACTACAGTATTATATATTATTACTAAACAAAACAAAGAGCCTCGATAGTGCAGTCGGTACAGCAACTGGATATGGACTGGATGAAAAAGGGGTTGGAATTCGAGTCCCGTGAGGGCAAGAATTTTCATTTCTCCACTACGTCCAGACTGGCTCTGGGGTCCACCCAGCCTCCTATCCAATGGGTACCAAGGGCTATTTCCCCAGGGGTAAAGCGGCCGGGACGTGAAGCTGACCATTCACCTCCAATTAATGCTGAGGTCAAGAAAATGTGGGTCTATAGATTCACTCCTCCATACGTCTTCAGGGCATAGGGCTTAATTAGTTTCGCACGGAACAATTTTACCTTTACCTTTTACTAAACAAAACTAACGACTAGAATTTATACTGAATAGCTTTCATACTGGACGGATAAGCACACACACTACACACCAACTGGCTCTACAGCCCTTTGTGGGCCTTGGCCTCCTATACTGACAGCCTCCAAGTATTTCTATCTCCAGTCTTTAGCTTTAAATATCCTAAGGTCTTCTCTGGCATTATCAAATCACCTCAATTTTGGTCTACCTCTTACTCTTTCAGCATAGATCTCCTACAAGATTTTCCGTGGCATTATGTTAGCATCCATTCTTTCTACATGTCCCAGCCAGTCGATTCTTCTTACCTTTATTAATCTAACTATATGTTCTTTCTTCAGTATCTCATCTATTTCTTCACTGTCTCTAATTCTCCACTGCTCTTCTAGTTTTATTGGCCCCTGTATTCTCCTAATCATTTTTCTTTCATATCTTCAATTATTTTCATCCTCTTTCTTTAACACCCACGTCTCACTGCTGTATGTTACCACGGGACGTATTAATGTTTCATATATTTTCATTTTCATACTCCTGGTTATGTACTTAGATTTTAGTCACTGTTCGTTGGCATAATATGCCTTATTGCCAGATTATATTCTTTCTTGTATGGTGTGTAATATTATTTTTCTCATCTATTACTGCACCTAGATACTTAAAACTTTTGTACCATTTCAAATTCTTCATCTCCAATACGTTACCTTCCTCTCTCTTATATTGGCATGTTTAGCTGTATTAAGATGCATGTACTTTGTTATTGTTATGTTTGTAAAAAGGCCAAGCTGATTTGCTTCCTTTTCTAAAGTCAGCTATACTCTCTGCAATTCAATTCATTTTTTGTTGTGGTCTTAATTATTATATCACCAGCGCATGGTCAAATTCAACTTATTTTTTTTAATAAGTTGCCCCTTTTGTCTACCTTTCTGATTGCGGTCTGTAACACTACGTTAAATGAGATTGCCAGGCCATCTTCCCATATTTGTTTAATCAACTTGTATAATTCTTCTTTAAGTTCTAAACCAGCATGGATAAGCATTTCTGGCATTATATTATCTTCTCCATGGGATCTATTTCGTTTCTGTTTCTTGACTGTCTGGTCTATTTCTTCTGACGTTAGTGCCTTCACAAGTTCATCTCTATTGCTGTATGTTCTGCTTTTGACATCTTCTAACCTTTCAAAGGCTTTAAGCTCTTTGTCTTCATTATCATTGTCCTGCATTTTACCCACCTATTCTTGGAAATATTCTGTCCACCTTGTTTTGGCTTCCGTTAGGTTTGCCACTATAATTCCATCTTTATCTCTCGGCATCCAGTTGTCTGTGGTTGATATCCTTTGTTTATATTTTTAACTAGACAGATAAGCAATATCTTAAAATTATCATTCAATGCCACTATTCCTAGATGGTGGAACAGTGTTAGTAGTACAGAGCTTCTACCAGGGCAGGTGTGTAAATAAAAAAAAATATATATGTGCAGTCTATATTATACAACAACTGAAACACAAAAGTATGAATTTTTGAGCCTGAGAAATATAATTTAAATTTAAAATTGCTTTGCCTAAAAAGAATGTGAGACCATCTTTCTCCTGCAATGCAAAACATTTCATAGCATTGTAAATTACGCGCCAGATCTCGTCCCACAGAAACTTACTCTGAACTACCATACTTTGTCAAGAACATACACAGAATTAACCATCAAAATAACTACACATAGGAAGTAAACAGTATGTCATACTCAATATTTTAAAATCCTATAAAAATCTCTTTTTTTGCCAGATTATGCCTCCAACTACAATAGCACTGAAGGTCACTGCTTTTCAAGCAGCTCCATGATATGGTCTTGAATAAATTCCTTTCTTTCACAGAACCAAAAGATCCATTGCTGTGTTAAAAGAGCCGGCCACTGGCTTCAGAACATGTCATTTCAATCTGGTCTACATTTTCACCCTCTTGGTCTCTTAATATTATTCTCCAAAGTACACTTACATCTCCACTGTGTTCCTCTCTTGATGTTTTGTATAAATATCTTTTCCCCCCTGCACCCTGCATGCCATGCCCATCTCATTATCCCTAATTTAATCCAGTGCTACACTTCAATGTCTAACCAGCTACCTGTCTGTTTGGGTAAGTTCATCTTCTTTGAAAGTTGTGAAATGTAAGTGAATGTAAGTTGAAAGTTTCCATGCCATAAAATAGAAATAGCTTATTTATAAAATATTAATGGCTGAAGGCATTTACTCTGCAATTATAGAATTAATTTTGTACGGTTTGAGAAGACGAAGTAATTAGTAATGAGGCCAATAACTCTTAACAATATAAGTGAATATAAGTTGAAAGTTTCCATGCCATAAAATAGAAATAGCTTATTTATAAAATATTAATGGCTGAAGGCATTTACTCTGCAATTATAGAATTAATTTTGTACGGTTTGAGAAGACGAAGTAATTAGTAATGAGGCCAATAACTCTTAACAATATTAGGTGGATACATAAGGTTTGATACAGGGTATTTACATTTTTAAACCTGTTTCCTTCATTCATCGATTCACTTCTGTCTAAAACAATACTCAAACCTGATTTCACACTTTAGTTTTGACATAAGTGCCACCTTATTCCTATAAGCATTTAGTTAACTAAAGTAACCGAAGACTTTCAACGAGCTACTCGTACACAGCGTTATATCCTACATCACACAATTCTTCATAAACACTGCTGTGAGAACCCCAAATCATACATTCACTAATTACCTTCGAAGCAAAAGAAAATTTCAGTTATATGGCTCCATATGTATTTACATACTTATATGACAGATTAACAATAGAGACATTTATTAACAATGACAAACATGAGGTTCTCACTGCAGTCAATATGGAGATACTCTCTCCTGAAATGTGACTCTGTACAGTCTGGCAGAAAGGAACTGCAGGCTCCATTTACTCTCCTGCTTACCCTATATCTGTATCCTCAAGTTTGCTCTTCTACCCTGAAAATGGAGGTTGCAGGTTCCTCTGAAACACCAGTACCTTCCTATCATAATATGTAGTGTCACATCCCAGAAGGCAGTAACCTTTATTTATTGCTAAATTTAAAACATTAAGCAGCACCTGACTTATACCGGAGTTTGTCGTAAGGGTCGGGACCAGTTGCCCTCAATTCAATATTCTGGTTGAACTTGTTTGAGATATCATTATTGCTTTCACTTGAGGCACATGAATGATCTTCACTGGCTTTTGCATCACATGCTCTCAGTCCACTTCCACCATTTCTTGACTCAAATACATTTTCCTTCGAATGTGCCTTTTCTTCTTTATGCCGTGCAATGGTTGTATAGTCCTCAAAAGAGAGTCCTGACCCAAACTTCGGGAACCGCAGTTTCCGAGTGAAGATTTCAGTGGCTGCTTGACTGTTTGTAACCTGATGGTCCACCTCCACATGACTTGTTGGTACTGTGCCCTCCTCGGACACAGATTCTGTGCTCAGGCTGAGGGCAGACTCCAATTTGGATGACAACCCTGTGATAAGATCACTGCTGCCTTCAATCACAGACAAAAATCTTGATTTAAGAATGCCTTGAGTCTTCCCCATGATGTGTCGTAAGTGCCCATCATTTCCATCTTTGGCTGCAGAGTTCAGGAAGTCCACCATTGGCAGTGCAGCTGCAAAGACAAGACTCTTGTTACAAAGGTGTACATGCCATTTCAAAAACTACTTTGTCTAAATACTATGATCTAACACACGCAGAAACACAAGCAGATCCCAAACCATGGGAGCATGTTTCAAAGTAACAGACTCAAACCTCTGGTTTCAGATAAAAACTATGCAAGATTTGAAATTTTAACTGCTGTGATTACAAAGAATAATATTTTCTAGGATATAATGCCAGGTTGTCCGTTGAAAATCATGCCTCCTGCTGGTTTCTTGTTTGGTTTACTCTTCAGTCATGAAGATGGGGTCACATGTTCCTCCAAAACACTGGTTGCCTTCGAAGGGATTGCATGCTATTATATTGCAGAATATGGTACTCTTTGAAGGCTAATTATTCCAGAGTCAGCTTGGTTTGCTTGGAGGCATGAAGTTTGAACTTATGACAACACCTGGTTAACATTCCATACAAACCCACAACAGCAACATGCTTCAAGTTTCTGTAGCCTTTGTACAAACCCTAATGCAGATTGTATATATTGTGCAATTGGTGCAATTTCATACAGAATTCGCAATTAAAATTCACATTGAGATTAAGGATTTGATTGAACTGAATGAAGTTACGTTTCTAACATACCCACATTTCCTCTTTTTCTTTTTTGTTAGTTTTCTAATACTACTACATGCGTCACAACCACATCTCTGTTTGAAACGACAATTTATTTGTAACTCCAGTGTTTAGTGTACATGTTTCTATTTCTGCATGCATTTATTTAAAATTAATTACAATACCTATTTTATTTATTATTTTATTCATTCATTTATTTTGTAACATTTTGAAGCAATACTTAATTTCATATAGTAAACCTTTCTTATTTTATTTTACACTGCATTACATTCCTCATATCTCCATTGTATTTCATTTTTGAAAAGCATTGTTGCTACAAATACAAAACTTCAGCCCTGATCATTCCACAACATACCCACAATTAAATAATTTATACACTACATTATAAAACTGTCTAAAGTATAAATATACTGACGTCAGAAATTATACTGAATTCCAGAAAATGACATTAAACTCCACAATTGTTGTCTCGCTCTGGAGCCGGCACATTAAAATCAGCTGATCCAAATTCAGAATCAATATCTGTAGAAACTGACCGAATACTAATGACTTACGAAGAAAGAACATTTAAGGGAGACGTGTACACGATCTTCCTTCACTCGGATTTCATTATCAAGCTACCTACCCACGAATTTGCTTCTCCCGTACCTTTGTGCAGCTTGTAGAGCTCCAACTAACTCGATACAGTTCCTCAGCCTATACGGCCTATACAGCCAACCCGCCGTACGCGTGCTTTCCCAAACAGTGACCTGACGGGGAAATTCGATTGGTTGATATATGCGACGTCATGGTTACCATAACAACAGCAATGCGGCATCAAATAAGTAGTACACTTAAGACGTCCTTAGAGAAGTAGCAGCTCTTACATGGTGCAGGGAATTGTTTTCACATAAACAGAGAGCTTAAAGTAAACAAACTGCATTCGGAAGATAAATCAATTTTGTAGGCTGTAAAAGCTATTACACAAGCCATCACAACATGAAGGTGAAATTTTCAAGATAAAAATAATTACGCTTCAGGTTCAAGAGCTAAAGACACGTATAAACATAGATACTCCACATAGACTACAGACTAAAACCTCCGCATCGACATTTTATGTTAAAGAGACCAAAGTTTATATCGAAAGGCCTACAGTCACCCCCCCCCCATTTCAATGTAATTATGTTTTCACTAATTCTGAAGTCGCGTGTCTTTCTAACTCCTGAAAATAAATTCTCAGACGACATTTGCTTTCCCAAACAGTACTACATAAAGCATGACATATCTTCTAATCAACGTGTCCCTATTTTGCTGCAAAATGCGAAACAGCTAACCCACCGAAGAAGAAAGTCGTCTTCTGGGTTTAGGCACCGTGTATTCTTCGTTTCGGCCGACGTTTCGGAGGAACGTAGCGCCTCCATCTTCAGAGCAGTTGAATGGCTTGGAATGCGGAGAGCAGTAGCTAACCCACCGTTTAGGAAAACTTAAATTACAATACCTTCGTTCGTATATACATATGCGACAATGATAAGATTACAGAGACTAGAGAGAACAGCCAATTCTGTAATGATAAGAATACGCACACAAAATATATATATATATATGCAAATAATGAACTCGTTTATTTTCAGATAAAAGTCAAAGTGAATTGTGTCTTGCATCAAGCAGCAGGCCACGAGTTCAAGAGGGCAGGCGACGTAAGGTTCGGAGCGATTTATACCTCGAAACTAGATGGAGGCAGATGGGCAACAGCTCCAGCTGTTCACCCTGGGGGAAAACAGGCCGGATGCCCACAGCAGTAGTGGCAAAGAGGGAAATTCCTGTCCCACCGAGAACTGAAGTACGCGACTTTCTATTCTTGACATTTTGCCATTTGCTTATCAGCAAGTACCGACTGAACAGAAAGAAAAACAAAGGATAGGCCTGTACTGATACAACACTTCATGTTTTTGAGTAATGAGTTACGTAGACATACAAATATTTTCGCATTAGGCAGGCCTATTGCGTAACATTTCGTGCTACGCTGTATACTACCGGAAAAACAATGTATCTAGAATCATTGCTATTATTTGTTACTTCATGACGCTGTCAGTATCAGGTCTATATAGCGCCGTTGAAAGAATGGTTAAGATTATGGAGCAGTTGGTGGCATAGAAACTGGCAGGGGAAACCGAAGTACTCGGAGAAAACCTGCCCAGCGCTACTTTGTCCACCACAAATCCCACTTGACCAGACCCGGGCCGCCGCGGTGGGAAGCCAGCGACTAACCGCTTGAGCTATGGCGCGGCCAGTCTAGATAGTTACAAGTAGTACCAAGGGTAAAGTTGAGTCGGTATAGCGACTGGGTACGGCCTGGACTATTGAAGAGGCGGAGTTCGTGTCCCGGTAAGGATAAGAACTTTCTCTTCTCCACGTCGTCCAGACTGGCTCTGGTGACCACCCAGCCTCCTCTCCAATGGGTACAGGGGGCTCTTTTCTCGGGCTTAAAGCGGCTGGGAGTGAAGCTGACCACTCACCTCCAGGTACTGCCGAAGTGAAGAAAAGGTGCATCTATACATACATTCCCCCATACGTCTTCACGGCGTAGTGCTTAATTAGTTAAGTACTGGGACAACTTTACCTTACTTTTTTACCAAGGGCGAAGTTGCTTCTGGGTATATTCTTCTTAATTCGTTGGATGGGACAACACTGCTACTAGTGGACCTGCTGTACCAGCCCCGGGTTATAGATGAGTATGGAAGAGATGGCAGAATGAGAACTGGTAGAAGAAACTGATAGAGGCCTTGCGACGAGCTGATCACCCGCCCAAGGAGTCCTACCGAATGTGTAAGATCTAGAAAAACTTAAGTGAACGGTGAAGTTCATGGAGGTAGGCCTAGGCCCACTGGGGCTGTAGTGCCAAGGAAAAACAAAAGAAACTGAAATACTGGGATAATACCTGTCCCAGTGTCATTTTGTCCAACATAAATCCCACATGACCTGAACTGGGATCGAATCCGGGCCGCTGGGATGGGAAAATGAATTTTGGTACGACCCTTCTGAGTCTAAATCATCATATTGTGACATGTATGGCCCGTTATAGGCAACGACTCGGTAAACACATTCCATCGCGAGCCAACGCGCGTAAGAATATGACATCTCTTGCTAGGCAACGGTTCAATAAACACACTTCCTTAACAATACAGGCTGTGTTTTACGTAGAGTCCGTGAAAATTGGTGATAAGAAAGTGTTCGGCAGCAAAGATCAGGAAAAGTTCAGAGTTGAGTGAAGAGTTGCGTTTCGGAACGCCAGTCTGCCGGGATATGAGCGGTGGAGTAGAGGAATAGAACTGAGAGTCGGCAGTCGAATTTGATTAAGAAGAAATGGCAAGAAAGGAATTAGATTGTGCAAAGAAGACTTCATGTGTGCTGCAGTGACAGTGAGACTTTTATAAATCCGTTGCCAGGATACGACTAGTGAAGACTGAGAACCCTAGTGCGTGTACAACGGTGAACTAAAGTGTGTAGATCAGCGATAGCGCTGTATTGCCTATAGTCCCGAGCTCTGTGTATAAGGGTCAATAAATCCAATAATCCAATCCAAAAACCCTTCTTATAAGTCAACCCTGCATGTGACATTATCACAGCTATGTATAAAGGACGCAGATGTTGTCCTCGGGGCAGCTTTATTTTAAACTTAGAAATTAGATGGAGGTGAGGCGTTTGCTCCGCCGATCACAGTGGCCGCGGCGTCTATGGCATGAACTGACTTCCATCGCAACGAACACTGGGATCATGGGTTCGAATCCCACTAGGGTCATGGATGATTGTCTGCGTTTATTCTATGTTTGTGTTATTTTATGTGCAAGTAACGACCTTGAGAGGGGCTGATCCCCTGTCCAAGGAGTCCTACTAACTCTGTATAAATTAAGAAACTAAAAAAGCGGCCAAGATCCACAAGGGCTGTAGAGCCATAGCGTTCGCTTCACACCGCAGTCAATTTACCTCCAGGAGACAGCCTTGGTATCCAGCGGATAGGAGGGTGGCACCAGAGCCCATCTGAAAGTGGGAGCGATGTTGGGAATTGAAAAATTCGGCAGGGTAACTCGTATTACCACTTTGCTGAACGAGCTATCTCAGCTCTCACGGGCGTCTACTGTATATATGCGGTAGCGTAGTTGGTTGAGGCACTATTCTACAAGCCGGAAGGTCGCGGGTTCAAGTCGCCATGAGGTGAATTTCTTCAATTGACCTAATCCTTTCAACCGCACTACGGCCCTGTGGTCGACTCAGCCTCTAGCAGAAATGAGTACCATGAATCTCCCTGGGGGTTAAGGGGCTGCCGGCGCGTAAGGTTGACAACCTTACCGCCATCTGTGAGCCGATTGTCTAGAGAAAATTTGGGAACCTCGACGTCTCACAACCCTA